TTGCCAATCAGTGCTGAGATAAACTATAACAGTGTGTACTACATGTCTTTAGGAGTAAAACCTTATTTGCAGTCTTCTAGGAAAGCTATTTCATGAGAAATATCAAATCTAGCTCGCCTTATCCAAATTTTTCTTGCGCAACTGCCAAAAATTCAGTCTTTCTCTTTAACCAGCTGTTTAAGAAGCTAAAAATTGACAATCGTGCTTCTGAGATCGTGTAGTATACAACTGTCATTGCTAGAGCATCCCAGCATTGTTTTGAAAAAACATGAATAACTTCGTTTTCCCAATTTCTAGCCGAGAAAAAATTACAGCAACTGCATAGATAATTGTTTTACATGAAATGTCTATGCGTGAACAAACGAGAAGATTTGTACGATATTTCCGAAGGAGTTGCAATTTTTTCTTGGTTGTTTTGGGGTGCTGGAATTTGTTGCGAAACTTTGCACACTATATTGTAAAGCTAGCTTTGCTCAATCAAAAGGATATCGGGAGTTGTTTGTGATTAAAAAAACGTGTCAATGCGATTTGTGCCTATTTTGGAGCAGGAATTATGCATCAACCTGATGCATATGGAATGTTATACGGTGTAAACTATATATAGACTACAAACATACGAGAAGATTGAAACTATCAAACATGAGATAATATAATAAACTGAATAAAAAGGCATTTTTATCACCACCCATCAATAATATAACGAAATTAAAAGCTTCTTTAAAATCGTGAGACTTACTGGATCACTTTCTATAGTTGTGATACTGAGTAGACCAAGATCGGCCAGAAGAGTTGGTTTATTCGAATCGTACACACCACCCTCAGAGATATAAATGGTGGCAGGCTGTATTTGAATGTCGAGCACAAGTCGAGATCTATTTTCAACAGCATGAGCAAGCCCAGTAACTGATCGAGCTTTGACCTGAGAAAAAATGGACTGTTAAAAAACATGAAAACACGGATTCAAAAGTGGGACGCTCGAACTTTCTACAGATACCTTACCTCTTCGTATCGTGACATTGCGAGAGCAGTCAGCTGATTCAACTTCACTGACTCCGGAGGTTTGAAGACCTACAATAAAGCATGCAATTTCTCCAATTTAGCTGGAAACTCGTAACCTTACATCTATAGCATTGTTCACAGCAGGCGCATGGTACTTCAGATTGACTGGAGCGATTGCAAGTTCTACGGATTGATCGTATTTTCCATGCAAAGGATTTGTGTCGACACAAAGGTAAAGCCACGGCTTTGAAGGATCGCGCACACGCAACATCTCTGCACCGCAGCCATCCATTCGAAGCTCTTGTATGGTTGATTTTAGACTAAAGACATGGTATACTATGAGAAAACAATCTACGAAGGTTATAATAGACGCACTTCATTGCGTTAGCACTAGGCCGTTGCTCAACACCGGCTCTCAGATCCAAAAGGAACAAGGAAACAGCGCCATCTACTATGACAGCAACCTGCAAAGACAGATTTTCATGCTCTAAAATGGCCCAAAACAAAACGATAATGGGATGCAAACCTGTCCAAGACGGAAATCGAATTTATTTTCAACAAATTCCTTTGGATAGTTTGTTGGAGGAATATTTTCCTGGAAAGCACAACATACGTAGAGGAAAAAAATAGAGCGCAATGAGGAAAAAAACGAAAAACACAAAACACAAATATCTGAAAAAAGATGTAAAGAGATACCTGATAGTCGATGGCTTCAAACAACTTCGCCTTTTCTTCAGGTGTCATCGCTTCATTGAATTGATCAGCAAAGTCCTTCTTCTTCTCCGCATGTGGCTTTTCCTCGCCGCCGCCAAACCTATGGAAGAGCATTTGAATGTGCCAAAGCTGGGAAGTAATTATTTTAATACCAGCTCTTGCCCCATGCAAGCCATCCTTGCGGTTGATCTTCCACTCTTTTCAGTCCTTGTCGATCAACATCCATTTCGGCCTGTTGTCTAGCAATATTGACATTGAACACGTCCAACTTTTCTTCAGCTCTCTGGAACAAGAAAGTAGGATTTTGTGAGATAAACCATGAAACAAAGTTCAACAGAAGAAAGCAATCAACAACAGAGACTCAGATCTTCACAGTCAAAAATGTCAAATTCAGTTACCTTCACGATTTCGTCCACATCAGAGCCTGGACTCTTCTCGGTCAAAACTTTGACCCAAGCATCTCGATATTCCCTCAAAAGTTTTCGATGTGCTTGCATCCGAGGCCATGACCAATTGTTGCGTCGTCGGCGTACCTTCTCTTCCAAAATGGAATTGTACGCAAAATGCCACCTAAATGTAAAAATCTTTATATTTGTTCTATATTGTTCCTCTCAATGGCCAGTGAAAGAATGCGCATAATCCCTGCCTCTAACATACCATTTTAGTGATTATGCTGTTATTAGAGTTCGTTCAAACTGCATTTACCGATCGTATGCTGCCAAAAGCCCGAGACCCCTAAATTAGGGTGGACGGTGCCACTAAGGATTACATAGTAAGCTGTCGCATACTTCGGTAAGAGCGCCTTCGCGCCGGCAAACGCCTCTAGCCGCCTATGACGCTTTTGCGCACTGTCTTACAAGGGAATGGTCAAAAATCGAAGTGGCCAATC